CGATGCCATCACATGGATGCAGCGGCGTGGCTGAGCAGCCAACGGAAATAGAAGAGGAAGGCCACTAGCTAACCCTAATGCCGCGCTGTCGTCGGCACGATTTTATGCTCTTATGTGTTTTTATGTGCTTTCGCATGCACAGCGAGTAAGCTGCGTTGTCGAACACGGCTTGTGCCACCCATCCGCCCAACTTCATTATCATCGCCATCATTCGCCAGTTGCAGACAGAAAAGTGGACGGACAGCCGCAGCTAGACACCAATACCGGCATGCTACTCTAGCAGATGTCCGTCTGCGGCCGGCAGAGGGTGACTGCCTAAGCCGGGAATGCAGAAGGGTATCTACGCAGCGCATCGTGTGGCATTCATAGCTGCCATTAGTGCCAGTTGCAGTAGAAACATAAAGTGATCCGTATATACACCACCACATGCCTCCTTGCAGCCATTTGGAGAGACTGTGCATTGTTGACGTCACGTGGTTGCATGACTCGCAGAAGCGCAAGGAACAAAACTAGTGGTAAAGCGAACTCTAGCTGCAAAACGGAAGATGGGTGTGACTGAAAAAAGGAAATAATCTCGAAAAGTTTACAAATGCGGCGATGCAGGAGGGTGACGACGAAAGCGCTCTAGCGCTGTGACAGCGACGCGAGGCAACTATACGATTAGGCAGCAGCGCAGCGGCAGCGGCACTTCGCCTAGCTGTGCTCTTGCCACCCCAAATGTCATGTGCCACACGTCGCCCACACAAACATACATGCATATTCATGAGCAGCAGTTGCATGCTGTGACGAAGAAAAATCACATCCAACCGGCAGCCACTTTTTTACCTTTCACGGGTGGGTGGCACAGTCTGGCTGCGTTTCCTCGCTTTATAGTCCTTTTAGTTTCCGAGTTTTGCATGCTTTTATTGCCGGCGTTTGCCCGCAGTGTGTGTGTAACAGCAGACTTTAGTTATGTGTGTCGTTGTTTCTTGACCACGTGGTTTGTTTTAGTCGGGTTTGCGTAGCAAAAACATGGACTTAGCGCCACAAATTCATAAAGCAACTAACTAAATTATGTCAGCATGGTGCTGGGGCATTTGAGTGTAAGTGGGTCTGTGGGTGTGTTAAAGTGGCAGTAAGTGAACTATTATACGCATTTTGCTAATAAAATTGTTTTGTGGTTTTCTGTGGTCGCAAAATGCTAGTAAGGGGTTGGTAGGGACCCTTGCTCTCCAAATGATGAACAGCAAATCTGCCTAGTTTTGTTGTGTTATGAGTTATGGTGAGCATTCTCCTTTCAAAAGGTTTTAAATGTATCTCTATATACATATATATATTTTTATCAGTCGGTGTATATGAGATTTTTTCTTCTTCGATATTTTTTTGTATCAAAATAGCAAAACTAATTTATTGTGCTAAATATTTTATTGTCAGTTTTGCAAAGATTATTATTGTGCAATTAATTGCGCATTGTCAGCGCCGACATACAAGTTTATAATAAGAAGTTTAAAAATCGCAAATATTCGAAAAAAATCAGTTTTGAAGCAAAAAAGAAACAAAAAGGCCAAATTGACCAAAAATAAATTTACGAAAATATACATACGTTTTTATAATGCATTTATAAAATGTGTATAAGTAAATAATGTTTGTTCGAAGAAAGTTGGCCGGCAAGCTCTAGTGCAAACGAGCAAAATTGAAACAAATTACATACCGAAAAAACAATAGAAATACAAAATTGGGAATCTAAATAACAATAGCGAGGCGCTACACTAACACTACAGCAATAGCAACAGCAACGAAAACCAAAATTCTCGTATAACTGAGTCCAAGTTCAAGGTCTCGCGTTCAATGGCTGCGTTCGCCCCTGACCGCGCGCCGCAGTGCCGTCAGCAGCCGCCGAACCAAGAAAAGCTAGTGCCATTCCATCATGTGCACACACATGGCCTCAACCATTCTGCATACACACACTGCTACACACACACACATGTGTAAACAAGTACATGCATATGCATATTTGCACGGCAATGTGATTGTTTTTATGTCAGCAAATCTAATAGCGACAGCAACCGCAAGCAAATGAACTCGAGCTGAGCCGCTATCAGAGCAAATGACGAATAAAACCTAACAAAGCAACAACACTGGGCAACAGTTGCTTCAGCAAGGGAAACAGCAACAACTTTTAAACTAAATCAACTGAAATGAAAGCGTAAATAGTCACCAAAGCATTAAGTCCAGAAATAATTTGTCTGAGTCCAGTAGCAGTAGGAACTTTCGACAGCATCGGCCACAACCAAAAATGGAATCTATGCAATAGTGTGCACATGTGAAAGCAAAAACAAAACTGCGAGGCAACAGCATTTTTCGGTTTCAAATTCAAAGGGGGCTACAACAAAAGTTTAAAGAAAAAACTACATAAAAGACTCGTAGTCTGCATTGTGCCTGCCACCACTATCCGCCACCGAATGAAAACAAAAGCAAAAGCCAAAAACAATAGAAACAACAGATATTCATATCTTGGTTCCACATAAATCGCATTCAAATGGCATAAATCAGCGCGATCAGCTACGCCTTACGGCCCGCACAGCGCGAGGGTTTGCAGTTGTATATGTGCCGATATTTTGTATACAATCGCTCTTGCTTTCAATTTCGCTTTCAAACATATGCTCTCCTATGACACTCCTGCTCTCTATTCTCATTTCTAATGCAGCCAAATATAGGTGCAGTGGGAGGGGTAGCGCGGAGTGGCGCTACCACTGCGCTATGAGTGTCTGGCAAAAACTTGCTCTAGCTCACACGTTGAGAAAACATTGAACGACGCAGTGCCAATTTCTTGCGTAAAGTGTAGTGCGCTAGAATGTAGCGCGCTGAGTAGTCGATTATGACCTTCACCTTAACCTAGTCATACCGAGTCGGACATTCGGTCATTTACCTCAGACAATGCGCATGTATGTGCGAAATATCTAATATAGAATGAGCGCAATGTGCACTGCGCGTTTCCCACACTGCCACAAAAGCGCAGCGCTCACTATGAAATTAGCATCTGCCAAAAATCGCTAACACATATCAAAGTTAGCGTTAGACTCTGAGCAAACGTGTGATCACAGCGCTACATTTGGCTGCTTCTGCCACTATCAAAGGCGGAGAGTGTAAGTCAAGCGCGCCCATCATGTCGTTCTGCAGCGAAAGACATTCGAGTGTATGCGTTAGAATTTGCTCCCGATGGTTGGCACTCACGGGAGCCAACCATGCATGTGTCGCTGTTCAGCGCTCTCCGCAGCTGGCGTCAGTAATAGCTGAATACTATTGGCTATTTCAAGTTTCTAAAACAAAAAACGGAAGCAAAGCAAAGAGTACAGTGAGTGCTCGCAGCGCGCAGCCAAGTCAAGTCTACATTTGCGAGGATGGAGGGAGGCCTGAGTTTCACAAAAACGAGGTTTAGATCACTGCTACAGGGCTTTAATAATAATAAGTATTGGCAAGGGTAGCAAGGGAAGAAAGCAGAAAATAACACAAATAATAGAATGAAAAGTATTTAGTTTATAAAACTTTTGTTGCGCGTCTCAAATTTGCTTCACGAAATTGAATTCAAAACCCGTTTCCGCTTCGTCTACGTATAGAAGTGCTGGAGTAACAAATCAGCAAAAAATAGCACTAGCTAAACAGAAAACTGAAATTAGCTTATAAGCGATAATAGCAACAACAACATCAATAACAGCATAAATGGGTAATAATAAAAACGCTGTTAAGTTTAGAATAAGAGGGTCGGGTCTTATTTGTGGCAAGGGCAACACAGTCTGAGACGATCGCCACAATAGACGATAGTAAATGGTGGTGGCTTGAGAACCTAAAATCAAATAAAAAACTCATTCGATGGTAGCTTAAGCAAAAAGTTTGCAGAAACACCGTAGACGGTGCGACCGCACCAATTTAAGCTACGTCTGCGACTTTGAAGTGTTAAGTCAGCCAAATTTGCCAACTGCGATGCAGAAGAGGCAGTGAATGGGGTAAAACAGCAGCAAAGTGCCAGACATTTTAAGGGGTTAAATGTTTGCCAATTTTTTGCTTTCAATTTCGCATTCAGATTGGTGTGCCTTTTCTGTTGTTCTTAAGGAAGGAAATCGCTTCAAATGGTCTCTGGTCACGCCAGACTGCTGCTTTCGGCAACAAGGGTCTAGCTAAGCGTCTAATGACTCTTTTGGAATTTTAAAACTTGATCGCACTAGCTTCATGGACTTGTTTTTGATTTCCATATTTATATATAAATATGATGTCAAATTCAGTAGACATTGAGTGTTAGATAATAAGGAATACGCCCACACACAACTTTTTTACTAAATATAATGTTTATAAGAAATTAAAAAGTTTGTATTCCTGGCGTGTGCAGCTCTTCCGTGCAAGAGTCAAGTAAAAACATGATCTCGCTGATTGCAGTTACCCACACAGTTGCAGGTCACGTGAAGATGCATAGAATTTGCAAATTCTCTTGTGAATTCTGCACTCTTGACTGCTCTTCGAGTTGCACTGAGGATGCATTTGGCGACCAGTTGCATCGGCAATGCAATTCTCTGCCCTTCGTCTCTGATGCAGCGCCCGTAAAGAGGCATGACAAGGTGAGCTCTTTATTGCTTGCAGCATTCAGCGATACGCCCCGTGTATATCGCTCGCATGCCGAAACTATTTGCTTGTAAACCCACACACTAACTTTGGTGGAACTATTTGAGCATTTGGCGCTCACGCACCGCCGTTTGTGGGGCTTGTCTATTTGAGTGCCTAGGCTAGACCAAAGTGGAGCTTTTAGCTGAGTGAGTGTTGCCCACGTTTTGCTCAAACATTCTCAGCGCGCTCAGCGTACTCATAGACTTAACCGGACTGCGGCTGTGGTGAAAAACTAACAACATCTTTTCCTCAGCGGCATCTACATAGTCACGAAAAAATAGTGTTTGGGTCGCTGGGGACGTGCATGTGTTTTGGGGGCAGCGGTGTGGCTATTGGCACGGCGCGTTCACTATAAGATTTCCTATAGTTCGGCGCTGATCGAGTGCTATTTTCCAGTATAGTTTTGGCGGCGGTCAGTGGCGCTTGGCGCAACGAAAGCAATAGCAACACGGTGCAGTGGAAGTGAAGTGATAAAAATTCAAAAAGAAATTGAAAAAAAAAAATTAAAAAAATTTAATCAAAATAAAAAAAATAGAAAATGGTTCGATATCTCAAAAGAATTTCGATTTTCTATTTTTGCAAGAAATTAAAGAGAAAAAGTGTTATGTGCATCGGAGGTTTAGCTAAATGTGTGCTCGGCACGAATACAGAGTATTTGAAATAAAAATTGAAGAAAAGCATGCGTTCGTCCATGCAGATTGGCGAAAAATAAAATAAAAATGCAAAGTGGTCAACTCAAGTTACAGTTATTCGGATAAAAAATGAAAAAATTAAGACGCAAAAGTAAAAAATATTTCAGCGTCAGCTGCGCCTGTTAGTCTTATATCTATTAGCGCACGCACACTAGTGTGCGCTGCGATCTATTGTAAACGGCGGCGTCAAAACTGCTGTTTTATATGTTTTTTGTAGTATGTTTATTTTTGTAAATGAGTAGCATGCCTTCGAAATATCAGACGACCGAGTTCAAGGCTAAATTTGTGTGAATAGTGATCATAGCGCCCGTTCAAAGTGAAGCAGCTCCGTCATTGTGTCATTTTTATTTAAAACTATTTCAGTTATTTGCTGACGAAGCATATATTTGAGATTGTCGGTATCCCACTTACTATAATTGTGGGCGTGTCAGTTTAAGAATTGATAGAACTACCACCGCGGTCGCGGATTTGATATAATCGATTACGCACTATCGATGTGAGTTTCAGAAACATGCTGTCTGCTACACATCGACCTAAAACTTCTAGCGATCGATGGCGCAGCTCCGACCCGCGCTCGCGGCAATAAAGTGACGGTCGCGCGTTCATTACCCCCGGTAGATAACGAACGCAAAAAATAAAAGTTTAAGCAAACAAATGCCCGTAATCGCAGTTGTGCATTTATATGTACTCACGTGGGGTCTGGTGTAAGTACGCATTTCTGTGCGCGTATTTGTGAGCCACACTAACTGAATAATTTGCTTTTACTGTTTCCACATTTGCTTATGTGTGCAATTGCGAAATATATTTTGTGGTGTGATGCGGTTTGGTTGTTGTAGCGCTTTGAACGCGCTGTATTTTTTGCTGTTGCAGCGGTAAGAATTCTGTTGTTTATTGTGACGTTTGTTTTCTGACCGCGTTAACAACTTATACCGCGCGCTCACTTTACTGCGCACAGCAAAATTCGTGCGAGCGATACAGTGTAGCCAATATAGAAGTCTTAGAGTGGGGGAATAAGTGAACACGTCTGCAGTTTGCATGCGTAGAACGCACAGCGTTTTTAGCTGAATGTTCTAAATTTGATTTTGAGCTTTCATGGTTCATTGCGCTCGGCTGTCAGCAGTGTGTGTGTGCGTGTGGGAGAGTACGATATCGCAGAGCAGAAAACCAAAATTTAATTGCTAGTATGTGCAAAAATATGTATACATAGCTACTAACTCTAAGTGCTAAGCATTGTATAACGCAATGCAATGAACTGTGCTGCGCGATAAGTGGCCGATGCTGACAAACGCATCATAAAGTGAAGCCGCGGCAAACTCCACATATTCTATGCAATTCTACTGCGTCGTACGCCACGTCGTGTGTGCCATACATGCTCGCACACAGACGCGCGCGCTTTAAAGCAGCGAAACGCCACCAATCTGGTAGGCGATTGGTGGGTGGTTGCTGGACAGCTGCAAGCGCGCGGTGGACGTTAATGCGCCGTCTGAGTAATTGACTGCGCGCCACGCTAGCTACTTTAGTAATTCAGCGCTGCTGATGCGCTGTGCACTTACACATGTTCGGCGTGGATCGCGCACGTACGCCGCGTGTGTGAGCTACACTGCAGTGTTTGTGTGTTACTTGACAGTCTGTTTTAGCAGCGCTCGTATTATGAGCTTTTATTTATTCTGCTTCTGATTTTGCCATTTCAGTTTATTTGCAGTGCGTTCTCTTTTTATTGTTCTTTATATATATTTCTGTGTATGCATTAAATATGTGTGAGTTGTATTTTTGTTCTTGTTCTTTGCATTAGCATTTCTCATTGCTTCACTGAGGTGAAGAAACTTTTTGGGTTTAATAACACTGGACAAGGTTATTAGATAAAAAATAAAAATCATGAGCAGGAAGAGGCGAATGACAGCGGCGACAGCGATTGCAAGCGCAGGCTTTTTGGTAATTCATTCAGCTTTAGCGCACATTAGTACACATCGACGAAAATGGCGTTGAGCGGGCGGTACTAAGTGTTACAATCGTCCGTTGGCCTGTGCTCTTCTTCCCCTCATGACTATTGTCACATACTGGCTTCACTCTAAGTGCATGCAAAGATGTTGTTGATCTCACTTACTGGTTATCACCCCCGCTGCTCTACGTAAATGAACTAAATTTTTTCGTATTTCCTCATTCGCACATAGCCTGATTGACCATACTCCGATATGTTCAATGTCGCTTCACTTCCCCAGCACTCGGCGTCATAACCGATGTTTACTTGTTACTGTTGATGTTATTATTACATTGAACTTCACAGCTCGCATGATGAACTGTACCCTCGCGAAACCGCGAAGTTCAGTTTTGATGCCATTGACTTATCGGCGCATGCGGTGCTCGAGTTTAGAACCTCATTGATCTTCTCGGAACGCTGATTGATGCGAATCGCAAATCAAAGGTGAATGTGATGAATCAAGCAGTTAAGCACTTCACTTGTCATCCCTAATACAACATTCAATACATTATGTACAATATCATCCGTTATACAACTTCCAATACATATTGTAGATGGGTTTGAATAATTATATTCGGAAAAATTTCGTAAAATTTATGAAATAAAAATTGTATTTTGAAGGAATATTACAGAATAAACTATCTCCGTGAAATATAGCGGACAGTTGCTCTCCTATCTTTAAATATTTCAATGCAAATGAACCAAAATAATGCCGGGTTTACAGTCTACCGTATTAATGACAAGCTAGTGCAATGTTAAAAATAAAAAATAGTGATATTTCAAGAATATTTTAGTTCATATCGAGTGTCTTCGGAATATTGAAAACTTATTCAGAAAAGACGAATAAACCAAGAACGATTTTACTTCAAATCAAGAGGATCGATCTCAGGGTCTCTGCTTATTAAATAAAACAACAGAAAAATGTCTTCGTATTACACCAATCATGTGCTGGCCTTGGCAAAGTTTATGAGATAGTGTCTGCTCGAAGTGACAGCAACACAAACAAATGAATTAACAATAAAACTGACACATTTTTTTCGATCCCTTCGAGTTGTTACCTCATTACATTGCTCTTTATGGACTTTCATTTACTGGGCCATCGATATTCGATACTTTATTTATGCACGTATATACATATGTATATTTATATATTTATATTGTTGTGAGAGTTTGTATTCGTTTTATTTGGCCTCTGTGACACTTACACAACTCTGGGTTTTGTTTTGAGTGGGTTGGCTGCACAACGAAAGCGGAAAGCGAGTACCGGTAGACGGGCTCGTGGCGGGTGTCATTGCATAGTCGCCGCAATTATGTAAAACGTAAGTTGAGATCCGATGACGGCATACCTTAACTCGGTCCGACCAGTCGTCAGCCCTTTTCGTCAACGCTGTAATCGTACAACTCCTCCAGCTGTTTGACCAGCCATTTGGCTAAGTCGACCAATGCATTTGCATTTCCCCCGCCGGCGAAGCGTTCCGTGTTGCTGTTACAGCTGGTGGTGAAACGAAAACCGACAAGCAGCCACTTCAGCCACAACAGCTTACAAGCGACGTCATCGTAATAGTGTGTGACGACACTCATGACCAACTGACTGACTGACTCGAAATGCAGTTGGAAAGCGCATAAAAATAACAGTCGGCTATAAAAAATCAGAAAGCAGCGCTGCAGACTACAGGAAACAAAAGCAAAAATAAAACAAAATTGCCGCCATGCCATGTCGACGGCGGCAAACACCGGCTTCGACAGCGACGCTGCAGCACATTGCCAATGTCAAAGCCAATGTGAAATGCCGCGCAGACCTCCGATGGCCAAGTATAACTCTAGTCTAGTAGTTATAGTCGCCCGTGCGCTTTGGTTCCTGCTTCTCAATTTCTTCGTTTCCTTGTTTTCCAAGCTAATTCCGTTGTTTTCCTGTGTGTACCACGGATCTGCAACAACACAATGACGTAAGCGGACAGCGGTGTGAAGGGGTGTTACACAAAATGCGAGCTGCAATGTGGGCACAGAATGCACAAATGCATATACGGTGCTCTATGCAATTTTGCTTGCATACCAGAATATGTTTGTAGGTTGGAATGCGTGTGGGACATAGGAAACCAGCATCCATTAAGAAAACCTTTACAAATGGTGCACTTTACTGTGTGTAAAAGCGTAATTTCTTATATTTTCAATATTGCATAAATAACGTAGCAAAAATATTACGCTAATACCTAAGCCTACCGACCAAAGTCTGCCACAAAATTTTCCAAATAAGTTCCTGAAGAAACGCTAAAAATTGCGTAAAACTTTTTGAACCTGCCTTGTTGACTTAGACCAAAATGCATTACCTTCATTTGTGTTTTTTCCTACAAACAAATATTTTTTTCAATTAAATTTTATTGCGTAAATGCATCACGGTGCGACTCACATAGCGGAGTTTCTGCCTCGTTGCCTGCGACGACACTATCGACTGGCAATGAAAATTTTCCACAGGCACGGTCACACATTCCCGCCTCGCTCCACCGCCAAATCCATCCGCACAAGGGCCACTCGGCGCCTATCGACAGGCAAAACAAGAACAACAACAATAATAAACAGCCATCAGCGACGGCCGCAGATGTGCTTACTACGGTGGCCCAATCACAAGCGGCAATTGCTGGCACTGCATTAGTTGCATGTGCATGTGATTTTATGCATTTCGTTGCAACTGAGTAAATGAAGGGCCAGTGTGCTACATATACCAGCGCACTTCCAACGACATGAATACGAGTCGGAGTTGCGGCTATGCTTGTGCATGGGCCTTTGTTTATTGTGAGTTGTGTGCGGTTGAGTGTGGCTAAATGTGGTTGGCCTTGGAATCCGTTTCCGAGAATACCAGCACAGCAGCGCTGCTATGCCTCTGCGAGCAGAAGCTGCGACTGCGATGGCAGCCATGCGGCACAACATGCGCTTGTTGCATGCACATCGCATGCACTCGGCCAAGCCTGGGTGTATCGTGTTATGTGAATTTCTATGCAGCGCACTGGCGGCTCGCTTGCATCGGCTCACAAACATATGACACGTCCTTGAATGGCATTAATGGAGCTGAAACCGCTGCCACCGTTCGCGCTGCTGCGCGTGTTTTATTATTGCTCCTCGTGCAGCCCACACAGCAGTCAGTGTGGTGGTGACAAGCAACGGTTGCGGCCAGCGATAATTTGGATTATGCGAGTAATCAGCAGGCCCTCTTGAGTCTTTGTGGGTAAACACTGTTTTGAGGCGCAACAGTTGCTCCAAAGACCGCATGCCACAGAGCCCACAAGCAACGCACATTCCTGTACCACATTTGCCATGTGTACATACGAGTATATTTGCATGTTTGTGGGCTAAGTAGTTTCACTTGCATTGATTCGGCTATCCCTTCGTCACTCTCAGTCGACGCGTCGGGCTTTATTTTCTTAGTCTATCTATTTGTCGGACGGCGTAGTCTTTTTCCATTTACCCTGCGTCGTTCTATCAAGCTCACAAACTAGTTTGCCGGCATGTCGGTATGTATGCTTGTGAACACATACACGTACACGCGCGTATGCACATATTTTCTTTGTTTAGCTTAGCAGCGGAGCGCCTCAGTGGCAAAGCCGAGCTCGACGACATTTTAAACGAGTCAATTAGAGATCAAGGCCAGCCCAACGGAAATGCCCTATGGGAATATATGGTATATGGTGCACTGTGGCGCAGTTGTTGCCCTATTGGCTATCGCAAATTACG